CAAAACCACAGAAATCAAAACAGTATGGTACTGGCATAAAAATAGACACAGAAACCAATGGAACAGAATAGAGAGCACAGAAATAAATCCCTGCATAGTCAAGTAATATTTGACAAGGGAACCAAGAATATACAATGGGGAAAGGATAGTCTCTTCAATAAATGGTGCTGGGAAAATTGGATAACTACATGCAGAAAATTGAAATTGGACTCCCATCTCACACCACTCACAAAAATTAACACAAAATGTACTAAAGATTTAAATATAAGACTTAAAACTGTAAAACTCCTAGAAGAAAACATAGAGAAAAAACTCCCTGACATTTGTCTTGGCAAGCAGTTTTTGGATGTGACACCAAAAGCACAAGCAACAAAAGCAAAAATCAGTAAGTGGGACTACATCAAATAGAAAATCTTCTGTACAGCAAAAGAAACAATCAATGAAATGAAAAGGGCAACATACAGAATGGGAGAAAATATTTGCAACCCATATATCAGATAAAGGATTAATATCCAAAATATATAAAGAACTCATACAACTGCATAACAAAAAAACAAACAATCCAATTCAAAAATGGGCAGAGAATCTGAATAGAGATTTTTCCAAAGAAGACATACAAATGGCCAACTGGTACATGAAAAGGTGCTCAACATCACTAATGATCAGGGAAATGCAAATCAAAACCACAATGAGGTATCACTTCACACCTGTTAGAATGACCATCATTAAAAAGACAAGAGACAACAACTGTTTGCAAGAATGGAGAGAAAAGGGAACCCTTGTGCACTGTTGGTGGGAATGTAAATTGGTGCAGACACTGGAAAACATCAGGTAGTTTCCTCAAAAAATTAAAAATAGAACTATCATATCCAGCAATCTCATTTCTGGGTATAGATCCAAAGGAAATGAAAACGAGATATTGAAGCGATATCTGCACTCCCATGTTTACCGCAGCATTATTTACAACAGCCAAGATGTGGAAACACCCTAAGTGTCCATCCACAATTGAACTGAAAAAGAAGATGTGGTATACCTATACAGAGGAATATTATGCAGCCATTAGAAAGCAGGAAATCCTGTCATTTGCAGCAACATAGGTGGACTTTGAGGGCATTATGCTAAGTGAAATAAGTCAGAGAGAGAAAGACAAATATTGTATATCAGTTATATGTGGAATTTAACAAAGATGAACTCATGGAAACAAAGAGTAGAATGGTGGCTACAAGGAGCTGGGGGAGGCGGAAATGAGGAGATATTGGTCAAAGGGTACAAACTTCCAATTAGAAGATGAATAAGTTATGGGGATCTATGCGAGCACTGTGATGATAGTTAATAATGTATTATACACTTGAAAGTTGTTATGAGAGTAGATTTTAAATGTTCTTACCACAAAAAAAAGGTAATTATGTGACATGATGGATGTGTTAGCTAATGCTATGGTGGTGACTGTTTTGCAATATATGTGTCCATCAAACTTTTAAACTTACACAATGTTCTATCAATAAAGCTGGGGGGAAAAAAAGAAAAAGAATAAATCCTATTCTCCAAAGAAAAGAAACGAGGGTTGATTTCAGGGCTAGGGCAGGGTAAAGGAGCCAATAAGAAAGTGTTCTCAATAGCTATAACTGAAACAACTTTTGAGTACTATTAGATTATAATCCAAAGAATGAAATAAATGCTCCTGAGTCCACGTGATGTACATGAATAATTAAAAGAATAAACAAATGGGGGAGGAACAATAGCTCTTGCTTATAGAAGAATTTCAATTAATAAATGTGGAAGGAATGATAGAAATTTTAAAACTCCATTAGAATACCAGAGTAATAATTGCTACAGGCAAAATCCACTGATGAATGCTAAAATTAGTGATTAAAGTTTAAGCACAAACAGGATATTTGCATAGTCTATCAGTACCTCCCGCAAATATTTAGTATTTACAAAGAAAAAACAGTAACTTTACAGTGGAGAATCTGGGTAGACACCACTTTAACTAAGTGATCAAGGTTAACATCACCAATTATGCATATCAACAATGTGCTCCCTGATGAGACGCACTGAGAACGCATAATCTCAGTCGAATCTTGAGGCAACATCACACAAAGCCAAATGGAAAGACTTTCTCCAAAACAACTAATCAATTCTCTCCAAAGTGTCAAGGTCATGTGAAACAAGGAAAGACTGAGAAACAGCCACAGATTGGAGGAGCCTGAGGAGACAAGACAATAAAACGCAAGGTGGGATCTTGGGTTGGATCTGAAACTTTCTGTTCATTTAGGTTCATTTATGGAAAAACCAGGTGAAATCCAAATCAGTCTATACTTTAGTAATAATTTTATATGAAGGATAATTTCTTAGTTTTAGTAAATGTTTTAAGGTTATGATGTTATGATAAGATGTTAACATAAGGGGAAGTTTTGGTAAAGGGCACATGGGCAACCTTTAACATATTCCCCAATGACTTCTGCCTCCTGGTATTCATGCCCTTGTGTAATCCTTAATCCTTGAGGATGGACGGGAAATAGCGATTCATTTCTATCAAATAGAAATGTGGCAGAGTGGTGAGATTCACTTCCATAGGTTACAGACAGACTGCAGCTTTTGTCTTGGGCACCTTCTCTTGCTCTCTCACTTGCTCACTCTGAGAGAAGCTTAGCTGTCGTATTTGAGCTGCCTTAAGGAAGGAAGGAACTGATGTCTTTGGCCAACAGCCATGTGAGTGAGCTTGGAAGTACACCCTCTCAGTCAAGCCTTGAGATGAGACCACAGCTGCAGCCAATACCTTGTCTGTAACCTTGTAAGAGACCTTGAGCCAGAAGCACCCAGCTAAGCCACACCTGGATTTCTGAACCACAGAAACTTTGGGATAATATTTATTGTTTTAAGCTGCTACATGTCAGGGTAATATGTTACACAGCAATAGATAATACAGGAACTCTTATCACTATTTGTGCAACTCCTCTCTGCAAGTCTAAAATTATCTCAAAATTAAAAGTTAAAAAATATATATATTTAATACATATATATTTACACATGTTTTATGTATATAGCTTGAATTATTTATGGACTCTGGAGTCAGACAAATCCAGGTTCAAATGCTATCTCCAACACTTAACGGCCATGTGATCTTGGGCAAAACATTTAATTTCCCTAAGTATTAGGTTTTTAAAATCTATAAATTGAGGTAATAATATCTATCCTTGATGATTATACTAAGCATAAAATGATATAAGCATCCACTACAATGCCTGGCATTTAGTACATTCTGAACACATGACATTATTATTATATTGTCATGTGTTCATGACATTATATTATTATTATGCCTATTATTATTATACATATTTATAAACATCTATTATTTTCTTCTCATTCAAGGAATTCAGCTCCAATAACCTGGCATTTTATCACTTTGAAGAGTTTAAGTATTGTATATAAACTTGTCCATCTTTTAATTTCTAAACATTAAAAAAGGAAAAGAATCAGTAATGATCTCTATAGCACCCTACCATTTATAACACTTGAAACCAGAGATTGACCTTGTTTTTTTTTTTGCCCCAATCCAATTCCCAATTAGTAACTTTTGGAGCTATAAGGGACCTTTCACTTTTCCAACCCTTTCCTTCCACCATCATCTACATATGAATGCCAAAGATATTAAACGACTTGTCCAAGAGGATAGTTGGTAGAAGAGCTGAAGTAGGATTCAAGATTCAGGCAGACAGTACCAAGTAGTGAACAAGCTCTTGATCTGATTAAACAGGCTGCGTTTGAATGCCCATTCTGCTGCTTACAAACAGTATTACTTGAGACAATGCTGTTTGCCAACAAAGTAGCAATGTCAGTGTCTCAGTTTCCCAGGGGGTAAACAAGGATACCACCACCTACCTCATGGTTATCATGAGTATTAAATGAGATAATATATGTAAGTCTCTCATTGCCATGGCTACCACATGTGGAAGCTGAATAAACATTTTTTCCCCTCCTCTTTTCCAAGCCCAGTGCTCACCATTATGATATGCTGCCTTCTTAACTATAAGGTGGAAATATTATATACACAGAGTAACTCTGTTTAGCCATACTGTAAGAGACTCCTTAATGTAAAACTGAATTAATAACAGTATTAAAATTAGGCTGAATAATGTAAATCTAATAGATTTATCCACTGTGAAGTGAGGCAACACATCAGGGAGCACATTATGCTAATATGCATTACTGGTGATGTTAACTTTGATAACTTGGCTAAAGTGATGTCTGCCAAGATTCTCCATTGCAAAGTTCCCTTTTTTCATTGCAAATATTAAATATTTGAGGAGAGGGGCCAGCCCCGTGGCCGAGCAGTTAAGTTTGCATGCTCCGCTTTGGCAACCCAGGGTTTCACCAGTTCAGATCCTGGGCACAGACACGACACCGCTCGTCAGGCCACGCTGAGGCAGCATCCCACATGCCACAACTAGAAGGACCCACAACTGAAATATACAACTATGTACTGGGGGGATTTGGGGAGAAAAAGCAGAAAAATAAAAAGAAGATTAGCAACAGTTGTTAGCTCAGATGCCAATCTTTAAAAAAAAAAAATTTGAGGAGAATCATGAAATGAAAACAGAGAGCGAGCGAGTGCAGGCACAAGCCAGCAAGCAGGAGAGTGAGTGCATGTATGCACACCCTCCCAAAGCCTGGTCTTCAACATATCTCCAACACAACAAATAAGGAATTAGTAAATTGTAGCACTGGATGATCAAAGATTCTTCTCAAAGTAATCCAATGCTTTAAAACACTTGATGGCAAGTCTTGTCAAAAGGCCTTTGAAAGTATAAATACATTACCTTCAGATGTTCTCTTACTTACATATTTAACCCTTGAAAGACTTCTAGCAGATTAGTCAGATACAACCTCCTCTAAGAGAAAACATACTTCCTTTCCCCCAAGAATTTACATTTGCTTAAGTATTTTAAACCCTTTAGCACAAATTCCATCAGCTTGCTTGTCATCACGAGACTCACCGATCTGTGGATATCGGAGTCCCTTCTGGATTGGAATAGCCTTCCAAATCTGAAATGTTCACTTGTGTTTGCCTTGACGTTACTATCTGGCTATTCTGAAAAGGCATGATTTTCAAGTCCTGAGTAACAGTACTACTATCTAGAAGAGACTGTACAACTTGGAAGTCCAGTGAAGATTTAGGTCCTAGAAAACCTAAAGATTCTTGATCCTGTGCTACAGGATTACTGGTCAATAATGTGGAGGTCGGTTCCAATGATCTTGAAGATATAGTTTGTAGGTCAGACTTAAACTCACTATTCATCCTTGTTTTAGAAGCAGGATCCAATGAATGAAATCTTTTATCTAAGGTTCCACTATCCAACTTGGAAGGAGTCTTGGGACAAAGAGTTATACGAACACAAGAAAGTGCTTTTCTATTTGAAGGTGGAGTAGATGCAGATGTTACTAATGTACATTGATTTGGGGCTGACTGGGAAACCACATTATTGAACTTGGCTTCAACATTTATATTAGAAATGTGTGATTTAGGCTTAGGTTGATTATTCTTTTCTACTACACAATTCTGACCTTGAGGAAGGGGGGAATCATGTTTTCTCATGTGGTGATCTACATCTGAGACTTTGCTTTGTTCAAAGAGCTGACGTTGTTCAAGAAAAATGGAAGAAGGAAGGTCTGAAGCTATATAATCCTGACCTTGAGGAAGGGGAGAGTGGTTTTCTCTCATCTGATGATCTACATGTGGGGATTTGCTTTGTTCAAAGAGTTCTTGTTTTTCAAGAAAAATGCGACAAGGAAGGTTTGAAACTACATAATCCTTATGTTGAAGAGGGGGAGAATGGTGTTTTCTCACGTGGTGATCTGCATGTGACACTTTGCTTTGATCAAAGAGCTCTCGTTGTTCAAGAAAAATATGCGAAGGAAGGTCTGGAGTTCTAGTTACAGTCTTCTGTTTTGCTCCTAGTGTGGAACTTGGTCTGCCCATGCTAATGAGGGTATGGTTATCAGAAAAATGAACTTCCTTGAAATTGCTACAATTTGCACTGGTACTGGGCTCAGAAAGACTGCCTTTAAAATATCTTTCTAAGAGTTTTTCTTCTTGGTGAGGATGTTCAACAGGTAATTTTTGGCTTTGCCTACTACTTTCCGCTAAAATAGTCACAGCTTTATCTGGTGAATGACTAATGGTTTTAAATGACGAAGGGGAATAGGTTTTCTGTTTTAGATCTCTAGGAGGATTTTGCTCTTCAGTAAAATGAGAATTAAATACCCCCACAGATGCTCCAGTACACTGGTTACCTTCAGTAACACCAACCTTAAGAACAGAGGAATCTGAAAAGCATTTAGAATGTTGATGAGATGAAAAAGTGATGGAGGTAGTAAACTTTTTCATGGGTTCTGGGGGCACCATGTGTGATGAATGACAATCCATTTCTTCAGGTGGCACACAAGCAGGTTCTACTAATTCTGACAGCCAAGGGTTCATCCTTTCACGGAATGGCATTCGAAGCCCCTTGCTAATTTTGAAGTCATCAGCTGTAAAGTTTTGAAATGGGGAATGACTTTGTAACTGCAAGGAATTCCAAACTTCAAAATGGGGGTTGTTCTGGTCTAGTGATCTGGAAAGGTTGATGTGCCTGGTTCTCCATGATGATGGGCTCTGTTGTCCTCTGATCATTTCTGAGGTATCAGCAGATCTGAAAACGCAAGGGCGGCTGTCCAATTGTGGTTGTTCAGCAGTTAGAGTCCTGAAACATCCTTTTTCATGGCTCTCAATAATAATGTGACTACATACAGCTTCTGGCTGGCATCCTATTCCCCCTGGACTCCGTAAACCCTAGAAGATATAAACAAGTTCTTACTTGAAGTAGTGTAAACAGTTATATAAAATTCAGTTTTACATTCAGGCTATGATTTGACCATGAAGATCATTTTGATCTTTTACAATAAAACAGGTAAGAACACAACAAGAAAAAGACAGTTAACTATAGAATAAAATGGCTCACGATAACTAAGACTACGCAGTTAATTTCCTGTAAAAATTTTTCACTAAAGTAACAAAAGCAAAGACCACTGTTGTCCCCCAGTATTCTCACAGTTTTTCTTTTAGTAACAAAGTCCCTTACCTCAACTTTTGCTGGTCACATGGCCACCAAGCTGGAGACGTTTCCAGTTTCTTTTGCAGCTAGTTGTAAGCCCATATGACTAGGTTTAGGCGAACAGGTTATGCACAAAAGCAGTAAGTACAACTTCTGCTTCCTGTCCTTAATAAAATCAAGTTCTTGACCTCCATGTTCCTACTACCACCATCACTACCATCACCATTACTCTTGCCAGCTGAAAATGGTGATGTCTAGAACAACCCTGGAAGCAACGTGCAAGGATGGCTTGGCTGCCCAGTCAGCTTGGGTCTTCAGATGACCTCAAGGTGCAGAGCTCCCTTTCCTATCCCGGACTATCACATCAAAGTAAAATAAAATTCTACCTTATTTGAGCCATTGTATTTTTGGGTCTCTTTGTTAAAGAAGCTTGGCGTACACCCTAGTATTTTACCACAAATAATAGGAAAAACAACTAGTACCTCTTCCTGGGGTGTAGGATCAGTACCTAAAGATACCATAAATATAACATTTCTTAAAGATTTCTGTGTTTTATCTATAAAGTCATAACCGGGCAACTACTTGATGATATAGCCACATTTGATTTTATATAAAAACATTTTAAATTATACTGCCACTTCCTACATAATGGAGTAGATGTACTTTCCCCTATTTCTCCTGCTAGGTACAACTAAATATTCTGGACATCACATATAAAACAAACTTAAGAAGAAACTAAAAGATGTAAAGAAGCCAAACTGGCTAGGGACCTTGGGATCTGAGGAATGACATGGTAGTAAGATCCCTAGGGTTTCTTTTTACCTCAAATATATACCAGATTTGGAGCTGAAGGAGCCAGTGACCTAGGAACAAAGAGCACAGAAAAAAGCTCTAACAAAAACCTGCTCTCATTAGCTAAAAAAAAAAAAACAGTAAAGGTGAAGTCCAGCAAGACAGAAAACTTTTAGACAATAATTGCTCTATTCCAGCCAAACACCACAGAAAAAATACTGTGGCCTCAGCCACATCTATACCAGCAAAGGCCAAGTAAAGAGCCTAGAATTCTACCCTTGCAAACCTATACTGAGGCACCTCAACATCCAGGCCAAGGTGGTATTAGAGATGGCCAAGGAAGAGCCCAGGACTTATTTTCACACCAGCTGGCTGGTAATGAGCTAATTCTCATGTGGTGTCAGCGGTGTCAATGGTTTCAGTGGACCACACAGAAGACCAGACTTTCATCCCCACTCAGAAGTAATGAGGTGCCCTGCTCTCTCCCAGCTGCAGACTGGAAGAAAATATTTGAAAATTCCATATCCAATAAAAGACTTGTATCTAACATATATAAAGAACTCTGAAAACTCAACAGTAAAAAATAAAAGACAATCCAATCAGAAAAATAGGCAATAAAAATAGACATTTCACTGGAAAGGATAGAGATGGGAAGAAGGGCATGAAAAGATGTTCAACACCATTAATCATTAAGGAAATGCAAATTGAAACCACAATAAGATAGCATTACATATCTATCAGAATGGCTAAAACAAAAAACAGTGAGAACACCAAATGCTAGTGAGGCTGTGGAGTAACGGAATCACTCACACATTACTGGTGGGAACTAATAAAATAGTTCAACTACTCTGGAAAATGGTGTAGCAGTTCTCAAAAAACTAAACATACAACTACCATATGACCCAACGATAGCACTTCTGTTCCCACAGAAACAAAGACTTATGTTTACCAAAAACCTGCACATCAATGTTTTCAGCAGCTTTACTTATAATAGCCTAAAATTGGAAAACAACCAAGATGTCATCCAATAGGTGAATTTTTTTTTTTTTTAGGAAGATTAGCTCTGAGCTAACATCTGCTGCCAATCCTCCTCTTTTTGCTGAGGAAGACTGGCCCCGAGCTAACATCCATGCCCATCTTCCTCTACTTTGTATGTGGGATGCCTACCACAGCATGGCTTGCCAAGCAGTGCCATGTCCACACTTGGGATCCGAACCGGCGAACCCCAGGCTGCCGAAGTGGAATGTGCGCACTTAACTGCTGCACCACCAGACTAGCCCCAATAGGTGAATATTTAAACAAACTGCAAAACATCCATATCATGGAATACTACGCAGTAATAAAAAGGAACAGACTAGTGATACACACAACAATCTGGATATTTTCCACAGAATTATGCTGAGAAAAGCCAATTTTAAAAGTTGCATATCATATGGTTTTATTTATATAACATTCTTGAAATGACAAAATTACAGGAATGAGATCAGATTTATATTTGCCTGAGGTTAAGAAATGGGTGAGGGCAAGAGAGAATATAGCTATACAGGGCAACATAAGGGACTCTTGTGATGATGTAAATGTTAACTATCCTGACTGTATCAGTGTTAATATCCTGGTTGTGATATATTACTACAGATTTGCAAGATGTTACCATTGGTAGAAATTGAGTAAAGGGTAAAAGCAATCCTTCTATACTATTTACCACTGCATATAAATCTACAATTATTTCAAAATAAAATGTTAAATTTTTTAAAAAGCCAATAAATTAATTAAACACCACTGGATAAAACTAACACTTTAAAAATGATATTTTTATTCCATGGCTTCTTATTACCCTGACACTACCTGACATACCACTGGGAAATAAATATTCCAATTTGAGAAACATAAACTTAATCCAGCCTCTTAAAACTGGGCATAATTAGATATGCCCAGTATAATTATACTCATCCCCAAAGATATTTCTTCCTCCTTTCCAACAATCCATACCTTACCATTTTTTTGAATATTCCAAGTCCTACAATCTCCCATCGCCTCTTTCAAGTTTTATAATAATTATAAACATCTTTCACAATAAACTTTCCATTTAAAAAATTCTTATAGCTTTAGTCTTTGGCAAATAAATTTTAGTATTTTTATATAACGTTTTCCAGATAAGCTATAAAAACTTTTGTTACATCCCAACAATGATTAACTAGATATGTAACAGGCTCTTAAAAGCTATTGTTCAGCTGAACAAAATCCAACACTCTTTCATGATAAACTCACTCAGTAAACTAGAAATGAAAGGGACTTCCTCAACCAGATCAAGGCTATCTACAAAAAGATGCACAGCTAACATTATACTAAATGGCGAAACAGTAGATGCTTTTCCCTTAGGACAAGAACAAAACAAGTACGTCCATTCTCCCTGTTATATTCAACGTCATCCTGGAGGGTCTAGTCAGGGCAATTTGGAAAGCAATTAGAGAAATTTAGATTGGAAAGAAAGAAGTAAAACTATCTCTATTTGCAGAAGACATGATCTTCTATATAAAAAACCCCAAGGAAATCACACAAAACCAACTAGGACTAATAAACAAGTTCAGCAAAGTTGCAGGATATGAGCTCAATATACAAAACTCAACTATATTTCAATACACAGTGAACCATCTAAAAATGAAATTAAGAAAACAGTTCCATTTCCAATCGCATAAAAAAGAATAAAATGCTTAAGAATATATTTACCTAAATAAAATAAGAGTACTATACTATAAAACATTGTTGAAAGAAATTACAGAAGATCAAAATAAATGGAAAACTGGCCCAATGGATTGGAAGATTTAATATTGTTAAGATGGCAATAATTCTCATATTGATCTACAGATTCAAGGCAATTCCTACCAAAATCCCAGCTGGCAGTTTTTGCAAAAATTGACAAGCAGATCCTAAAATTCATATAGAAATTCAAGGGACCCACAGTGGTCAAACCAATCTTGAAAATGATGAACAAAGTTGGAGGACTCACTTTCTGATTTCAAAACTTAACTACACAGCTACAGTAATCAAAAAGGTAAGGTGGTACTGGTACAGGGATAGACATATAGATCAAGGGAATAGAACTAACAGTACAGAAATAAACACTGACATTTATGGTGAGTTGATCTCCAACAAAGGGGCCAAGAGAATTCATGGGTAAGAATCATTTTTTCAGTAAACAGTCCTGGGACAACTGAATATGCATGTGCAAAAGAATGAATTTGCCCTCTATATATAAAACTCTAAGGAGACAAGCAACAAAAGTAAAAATATATAAATTGGACATCAAAATTTAAAACGTCTGTGCATCAAAGCACACAATCAGCAGAGTAAAAAGGCAACCTACAGAATGGGAGAAAATATTTGCAAATCTGGTGAGGAGTTAATATCTAGAATATATAAAGAACTCTTACAACTCTAAAATGAAAAAATAAACAACCTGATTCAAAAAGGGGCAAAGGTCTTGAAAAGACACTTCTCCAAAAAAGAGAGACAACTGGCCAACAAGCATATGATGCTCAACATTGTTAATCATCAGGGGAATGCAAATCAAAACCATAACAAGACATAACTTCACATGCGTAAGATGGCCATTATCAAAAACACAGAAAGTCACAAGTATTGGTGAAAATGTGGAGAAACTAGAATCCTTGTCCACTTTTGGTAGGAACGTAAAGTGGTACAGCTGCTATGGAAAACAGTACGGCAGTTTGACAAAACTTAAAAACAGAATGAGCACATGATCTAACAATTCCACTTCTGGGTCTACACTCAAAAGATTAAAAGCAGGGTCTCAAGGAGATATTTGTATGCTCCTGTTCACAGGAGCACTATTCACAATAGCCAAAAGGTGGAGGTAATTCAGTGTCCATTGACGAAAGAATGGATAAACAAAATGTGGTATATGCATACAACAGAATGTTATTCT